CCTCCAGCAAATGTACCAATTAGCACCAGTGGTGTTGCTGATTTTCTGATCAGCTTTTTTCATACTGGCAGCCAAAGGCTTTTTGAGACAGAAAGTGCTGATACAAATATAAAAGCCAGGTAAGCTGGCAAAAGTAGATCTGTAGTCACAGAGTTAGAGCTACAGCATATTGCAGGTCTAAAAGAAATGGCCCTCTGCATTCTGGTGATACAGTTCAGCCAGGATTCTCATCTACAGATGTTTACATTATTAGGGAAACTGTCATCTTATGTTGGAAAGCACTACTACACAAGTGCAAGCAATGCAATGTGATACGAAGTAAAAAATTTATGCATTTCTTATTTTATAATGAGAGAAAACCTTTTACTGTGCACCGAGTGTTTATCTGTTAAAAACCACTAAGATGAGGAAATAAAATATATATTTTGCAAATAAGCTTTTACCTCTGCTTATTTATTTTATATTTTTTCTCTCTCTCTATCTGTATGTGCATTTTCTAGACTATAGGAGAGTATTTATCGCATGCTGATTACTAGGACAAACCCATTTCACTCTTTGCATCTTCAGAACAGGGCAAAAGTGGACTTCAAGTCATACATATGTGGAAAAGAATTAATTTTACATTGGGTGCATAAGTAGCTTGTTAGAAAAACATGCTTCTAATAAAGTAAAAATGATCCAAAGTCTAGATGTGAACATTCTCCAACCTCAAAGCAGACTCTTAATACCTTACAACTTTAGTTTTTCAGAACAAGCCGGATAGAAAGATAAGTTTCTAATAGTGTATTAGATTGCACCTATTCCAAATAAAATTGATCCAGTCATTATGCTCTTCCCTCTTCTTTCTTTCGCCTTCATCTTTGAAATAGACTACAAAGCTTGTAGAGAATCTCAGCAGGATGCCAAATCATTTTAACCTAGCCCAGCAAGATATCCATTGGAACCACAGTAGTAAGTATGGATTTTGAATTAAAGATCAACAATTATCTAGACTCAGACTTATTTTCTTTGTTTTCTTCACTATTACCCAATTAGTCAAACCTTTATTTCTTTTATCAGTTATGTATGTCTTTTACTGGTGGTGTCACTTGTCTGCATGAGATGGAAGCCCATGTAACAGGAACTTAACTAGCACTTAGAAACAATTGCACTGGAAGCAAATAAATATATGAAAAAAAGTCCCCAAGCCCTTTTGGGTGGATATAAGAGGGGTAACAAAGACGACAGACAGCTGTGTACACTGGTATGGATGTAATTCCCTCTTTCCTAAGCTCTTAATCAGGCAGAGGACTATTAATCTTTCTCTAGTAGCAGCTACATATTTTTAAATTACATTACAAACCCAGGCAATATGATGATAAAAAAAAAGAGCTCAATAAAAAAAAAAAAAAAAGGCAGCACTGTATTACTCTTTTGTATAGGAGAACACATACACATAAAGGCACTTACTCTGTGCAAACTTAGGAGGATTGTCATTAACATCAGTGAGTGTAATTGTCACTGTTGTAGTTCCAGAGAGTCCACCCATATGTCCTCCCATGTCCTTTGCTTGGATGACCACAAAGTATTCTTCTTTGGCTTCTCTGTCCATGTTGGGAAGAGCTGTTTTAATTATAGCTACAATAATGGGGGGGGGGGAAAAAAGTCAGGTACAGACCCAAATTCAGTTTTGCAGCTACTTTCATGGATATATGTAAATATTGGTATAAAAATTGAAATGCTAATGGTCCAGTTAAGTTGCCTATTAGTACCAAGGATAAAGAAGAATTTGAGATTTTCAAAAAAATATATTACAGGTCACCTACCTTGAATGAATTGAAAGTGCAATGACATTGTGGTCCAAAACCCAAGAATTAATCATACCGGCGATACATATTAATTTTTACATTTTTTTCCTGATAAACTTTTTGGTTTCTGTCCTACCTCCCACAAAAATCCATTGTTTCCCCACAGAATTCACAAACAGAAGACAACCACATGGTAAACTTAATCTGTAAACACTGTTAACCATATCTGTCAGATTGTTTCAAATATTTTAAAACCAAAACCATTACTTAATCTGCTCTCGTATATAACACAGGCTACAGTTGTACCCTTAAGTCCTAAATCGAGTGCCCAAACTTCTACTGGAGAATGACAGCATGTCTTTCAGTATGTCTTTCAGCATAGTCACCAGGACTGCAAAATCATAAAGTCACTCCGTTGTCCCTACTCTAGGAGGGCCACTGGCTGGACAATGATCTCAGTAAGCTGCTATCATCTACTTTATCAGGTTAGAAGTTTTTAAAGATAGAGAAGTAAAATGATCTGTAGTATATCGAAATATAAAATGTCAGTGGGCTAGCAGGAAGACACCTGCAAGGGACAGTCAAATTAAATATGGGTCCAGATCCACTGCAAACTCCTATAGATTTCATGGACATCTAACAGAAGAAATAATAAAATCTTTTTTTCTTTCCAAAACTTCTCCACCTGCAATGTGCTATTATATTCACAACATTCAGTATGGAAAGTGCAATACTAAATATTTAATGGCAAATTTAAATGGTGTTCATCACAGTCTAGTAATGTTCACCATAATAAAAAGATAAGAATCAACTAAAGAAGTCCCACGAAACCTAGGAAAAACAACTCTAAATGTTAAATTGAAATATGGCATTTTTTTCTTTTAATCCTGTTTTTGAATTCTATTTAAAAAAAAATCATTTATCCATGAAAAGAGAGCACAAAGTTCAAGTTACTGAATTTTCTTAGTGGTTAAGTGAAGTGTAAGAGTACCAAGGAGAATTGAATACACCATTGCAGTGGTTCCTTTAAACCATGGTGCTTGAGGGTTCTTGTGAGGCATAAAGAGTGTCTCTTTTCATGGGCCTGTACTCACAGAGCTGAAGGACACAGTTTATGGGCAGACATTGACAGTAACTCACCAAGTATTCAGAAATAAAAAAAAAGAAGGTAAGAATTCTATATTATACTGTATATTTGTTAAGCTTTGCATGTTGAATAGAGTGGCCAAGTTCACACCCTGGATCATACATACCTGTTGCTGGGCCTGGTCATACATTTCATTAGCTCACGCTGAATTTTTTTTTACCTGTTCTTTGTTAAGTATTGTCAGAATTTTTTAGATGTCAATCAATACTTATTATGAATCTATTAGTCTTGATTTCTCTATTGGGACTAGCATAGCTGTGGAGACTTCAAATAGCTCTTTTTCTTTCAATTAAATAAGCTTCTTAGAAATTATACTCTGGCTGAAATGCTGAGATTATCTATTTGTGTATTTATGGTGACTAAATAAATTTTCCTAGTCTTTATCATTAATTGAGATGCATTTTAGTAAATTTTAGAATCCATTTATCTTTAATGTTTTAATACTAAGAATCTGATCAGACCTTCTTTTCTTGGCTGAGTACAGGACCAAGCTAAGAGCAAGGGGGTGTAAGGCATTTAGAATAAAGCAATATGCTTGCTACATAAAACATAACATAGTATCAACCTTGTAACCTACACTTTTATAAATGTTTTCCATAAAATATTTTGGGTTGTTGTCCTACATATTTTATAAATATAATTCTGGATGAAAATGAAACCTTTATCTTATATCTGCAACTGCCAAGCCAGAGTAATCTCTTGATCCCAAGGAACTCAATATGTAATCAGTGATTTTTCATTCCAACATGTGGTAAGTGGGGTTAGGAGCAGCAAGGCCAGCTGCATTGCAGTTACAGGTGAGTTGGGAGCCGAGTGTGGAAACATGGCAGGCAGGAGCAGTGACCTCACCAACAAGGAGCCAGCCTGCAGGGTGGCAAGTCAGAGTCCCACTCAGATCCAGAGACAGTGGCCAGGATGAGCCAGAGTCTGATGATCACCCAGCGAGTCCACAGCAACAAGGCTGGTCTGAGGCCAGGCCAGGAAACCCAGCTGGAGGGTCTGGATCTGGGTCAGAAGCAGAAAATAGGAGCCCAGGTGCAGATGTAGCACAGCTGGGGGCCAGCAGTAGAGCCTCAGCCTGAAAGCAGCTCCCAAGGAAAAGGAGGGGCAGCCTCTGCATGCAGCTTTCTTCACAACAGCTCGTACCAGCGAAGGAGCTGACCTTGGATGCAGCCAGTTACGCTTCTAAACTTAACCAACTAAACTCCTTGAAGGAGGTTATGCTCAGGCCCCTGACAAATACAATGTAATCCAGGGCTTGTAAAAGCAATGAAGCAGCCCTGAAGTACAACATTCATGTAATTTAACTATTCTATACCATCTATAGGAGGGGACATAAGTTGTTCTGCAAAACATTGAAGAACATGCTTCTGTTAAATTTTTTGAATGAAAATGGGGAACAGTAAAACCCAGAAGATAATAATAAACATTTATCAGATGTGATAGGTGCAAAATACATTCAGTAAAAGAGTAGGGCCATTTCCTCCATAGTAGCCTGGGTAAGGAGAGTAAATGATATTTATCTCTAAAAGCATTTGACAGTTGTGACTGGTTTGGACTGATTGGTCTACTATTTAGGAATAATAATGATGTATTCTGTGAAAAATTCTACTGTTATGAGATGACTCATAAAAAGGATGTAAGGCAAACTTAGGGTATCAGAATTTGGTCCACATTAATTTTTTTCACTAGTCAGGGAAACCTTATTTCAATGGGTTTTCTCTTAAGCCTACTATAACTTTTCCTGCATTGTTATTTTTTAGGCAGTGTTTCCCTTGTTTGTTTGGTTTTTTTTTATCCTAAGTTACATAGTTAAGTCTAGCCTACAGATGACTTGTATAAGATGCCACATTTTGTATTCTGCAGTTTCCTTTGAGACAAGTTAATTATTTCAATAAAGTGATGATTTTTCCTAGACATGCATTTTGATTTGTCTCTTAATGTATGGAACAGTCTAGTCCTTGCCTATGGTTTGATATCAGAAAGATTAAATACCTTAAAAAGTGCCTAAATCAGAACTACAGTTTCTGACTTGTAAGACATAAAAACTGGGGCTTTATTCTGTATAAAGATACTAGCAAAACCTGTTATTTCAATAGTTTTATACATATTTCTATCTGCTGTCTCAGCCCATAAACCATATGCCAGAAGCTGAGAGTCAAAGTCAAGTTTCAATTTCAAACACAATAAAAAGCTAAAAATAAATTTACTGTTCTAATTAATACAAGAGGAGCTGAAGGTTTTTAAACATCAAATATATCCAAATTACACAGGCTGATTGTTACCACCAGTATTTCTATATTCAGAATCTATAGAATGGAGGTCAGCAAAAGAGAAGTGTCAGTACCTTATGAGACAAATTAACAAACACAAAAAGGCTCCATTCTCACCTAGTGAGGATGTGATAGAGACAAAGACAGACTAGGAGAGTTATGCATAGAGAATTTCAAGGATATTTATTTGTTCTTTTGCTTTATTCACCAGTTCTCAGGCTGGGCTCACAGGAAGTACTGAAACTTTCAATCTATTTTTAGAAAATAATTCAGTCTCACAAAATACTAATATGCATACAGCACACACAACATTAACTCATTGAGCATTCAACCTGCTCTACTTCAACCCAGAAACAAATCGAAAATAAAAACATAATCACTTTCAGCATGCTATGATGGATGAAAATGATATGTGCCAAACAGGAGAGTAGTTTAAAAGCAAGGGACAACAATTACTGTAAACTAATGTAAGGCCGGTAGACGCTTGTTGGAAGACTGCATTCAGAACAGTCATCAATGGCTTACTGTCAAAGTGGATAGATGGATGAAGTGGTTCATAGGGTTTGTTCTGCTTATAGCATCATTCAATATTTCCTGAATGATGGAAAACAGGAAGAACTTATGAAGCCTTTCAAATGACACAAAGTTGGGAGCCACTGGAAGTACTGGAAGAACAGGATTAGAGTTCAAAACAATTTTGAGACATTGGATAGTCTAAAAAAGCAGGAGGCAACTCAATTTGGCAAGTAAAAAGTATTCTGTGTGGATGAAACAATTAACTTCACAATTACAATAGAGCAGATGACTCACAAGACAGAAAAGAATGTGGAGTCAAAACAAGCTGAAAATGAGTCAGCAGCGTTTTGCTGATAAAAACGCTCAAACATTTCCTGGTATATTAGCTAGTATGTTATATGGAAGAACTGTGGAATTATCCTTCCAGTTCACTCATACTGGCAAGACTGCAGCTGGAATGGTGTGTCCAGTTTTGAAAAAAATTGATTGACATAGTTAGGGAAGTATGAGGAAAGACTTTACAGCCAAATATGTAAAAATTACTGGGAGCTACTCTCCTTTTTCCACTGGGGATAACAGAAGAAATGATGGGCCTAAAACATAAACCACAAAATGGGTTTAAATTGCAGCAAGAGAGATTTCAGTTAAACATTAGGGGAACACTTTCTAACAGAGAAGGTAAGTACAGAGAAGGCTGCCTGTAGAATTTTTTAGTATTTTCATTACCAAAAGTTTTTAAGAACCTATCAGACAAACGTCTATCAAGAACGAGAAGGGATAAACCTGGTCCTTTTTTGGGGCAAAGGCACTCGTTGCATTCTCGCTTGAGGTCCCTTCCCTCCATGTTGTCTAAGATAAAGCTTTAGCTCTATGTACTCTAAAATATTTCACAAA